TTAAAGAGAAATTATTCCATTGTTCAGAGACAGTTGTTCATTTTTTTTTTTTTTTTTTTTAGTTTTTCGAGACAGGGTTTCTCTGTATTGTTTTGGATCCTGTCCTGGAACTCACTCGGTAGACCAGGCTGGTCTCGAACTCACAGTGATCCGCCTATCTCTGCCTCCCGAGTGCTGGGATTAAAGGCGTGCGCCACCAACGCCCGGCCGACAGTTGTTCATACTGCTCAATAAAGATGGAAGTCTAAGTTGCTACTTGTGATTTTAGAAGAAGGTAGGTGTATATAGTACCTGCAGATGAGATATCTAGGTTGCCAAGTGCATTGTTGGAAGAGTGAGTCTAAGCCAATGGGATCTAAGGCTGCTAAACTATTACCTATGCTTATCTGTGTGGTTCTGCCTTTTCATGCTTATGGGTCCTAGAGCTGAGTTAGTCCTTGGCATATGGCTTGCATGCAGTTGCCTCATAAATATTGTAGGAGAAGGGATTCAGTATTGACACTTTTTTTTAATGAATAGTAATCAGTGGTTCCATACTCCTGACTGTTGCATGTTGGGGACTATCTCCCTATATGTTTCATGATTCCTTCTTTCCCAGTGCCCACTTAACTCTCAGTATACTTCCTGTTATGAGAATGATGGTCTCTGTGTGACTTTTTAAAAAATTGTTCTTCAAACATGGTTTTCTAAACTAAGCACTCCAGTAAGTGTTGAGTTCTCCCCAGTGGTGAACACTGAGCTGTAACTGCTTCACTGATTATTCATTTTCATGTTGTTGAGGGCATATCAGCTTCAGCAGTAAGAGATTGGTCAGTTGCCTTGTGCTGGAGAAATAGAATGAGCATGCAAGTGACCTTATGGTGACAGGTTCAGTTCTATAGAGAGTTACATACTCAATTGTTGATTTGTGTGTGTGTGTGTGCACACATGTTAACACACCATTTCAAATCTTGATTGGAACAAGCTCAGATCAAATATAATAAATGAAATATTGTCTCAAATACTATTTTAAAGTATATTTTGTTACTGGCAACCTGTTGGAGCTCTTCTGCCTCATTTATTTCTTCTATTATTTCTTTTAAAACATCTGTAGTTGACTGCATTTCATCCATGAGAGCAAGTATAAATTACCCCACTGATGACAGCCGTAGAAGGCTTATTAATAAACCAGACAGCAGTCCCGGCTCTGTATCTATGGATCCTGAGAAAAGGTCAAGGGTGAAAGTAGTTCTGAGGAGGTTTATACTCATGAACTATATAGGAAAATAGTATTAATACTACAGAAATTTACAGCTGGTGAACCTGGCAACTTGAAAGTGTTTGTTTACCTGTGCTCCTCCTTGAGCTGTTCCAAAATGCCAGTCAACGTGTAAAGAGAATGTGAACAATAATGACAAGTGGTAAATAATATGTAAAGTAGCATTTGGCAAAGTGAAAGCAAGTACATTCAGATGCTACGTGGACATTATGGGTATCACTCAGCAAGTAGCTGAAAGAAACAACTTATGGGAAATGGTGGCTACCTCTGCTCAGTCCATATCTATATATCTATATCTCATTTAAATTTATTGTATGTGCATTGATGTAAAGGTGTCAGGTTCTTTGGTTGAGTTACAAGACAGCTGCAAGTTGCTATGTGATCCTCTGTCCGCTGGAAGAGCAGCTCGTGCTCTTAACAGCTGAGCCATCTCTCCAGCCCCTCTCTGCTCAGTCCTTATGGACATATGTACTCTTTGAGGAATTAAAGTTAACAAGGCTCCAGGTTTGGACATAATCAGACAAGTCTTGCAAAGGTACTATGTCAGAGTACCGATACTATCCTGAAAACAGTCTCAGCCATAGAGTGAGGCATTTTTTCAAGATGCAGGACACTCAAGGTGTTAATCAACCCAAATAAAAGATCTATCTGAAAGAGGTCCATTAGTGTTCTACCACAAGAATAGAACTATCAGCTCCTTAAATGAAAATAAAGAATAAATTATGAAAGTTTTCACAGAAGAGACAGTGTAAAATTATAGCATCATAATGATAAACTTTGGGGGAAATAATGAAAATGAAAGGCAAGCAGGAAACATACATTTCACCTAGAATATCCAGGACCTATTCCTGTTACAGTAGAAAGACAAACTTGGGGACACCCAAGACCTCTATGTGTTTTTTCTCTTATATCTTTTCTGAAGAAGCTACTTTAGATACCTCTTTAAAATACAAGGAAAGGAAAGAGATGGATAGATTCAAGGAACCAGTGACCTAAAATTCTGCAAAAACAAAAGCAAGTCTAGGATGAAAGAGATACTAAAATGGCACAGCAGGTCTGGTGACTCAGGTTAGAGGAGAAGGGGGCTCCAAGTAGACTTCAGTGAAAACAAACAAAAAAATGAACTGACAAATTATTACTAGATTGTGAGTGTTTGACTAGGGGAGGAAAAGTATGGGAAAGGTTTGCTTTTGTTTTGTTTTTCAGCTGGAGTATTTTAAGAATATCAGCAAATAAGTACATTAAAGTCATGACAATTAATAGGAAGGTATAAATAAAATAGGAATATATTAATCCCATTCTGATGTGAGTTTTTCATCATCAACATAATCCTGATCATGTATGTAAGTAGTAGCAACTATGGTGAATGGAAAGAAGCCTATATTCTGTCTAAGAGTCAGGCCTATCAATTGTCATCAGAGGGGCTTCACCTAGCAACTGATGGAAAACAAATACAGAGACCCATAGACAAACATTTTGAAAAAGAGTGGGAGGGGAGGATTCTAGGAGTCAGAGGGATCAAGGATACCACAAGAAATCCCACAGAATCAACTAACTTATATTCATAGGGACTAGCAGAGACTAAACCAATAATCAGGGATCCTGTATGGGACTGAGGTAGGCCCTCTGCATATATGTTACAGTTGTGTATCTCAGTCTTCTTGTGGAATTTCTAATATTGGAAACAGGAGCAATCTCTTTTCCCTGCTTTTGGGACCCTTTTCCTCCTACTGGGTTGCCTCATCCAGTCTTAGTAGGAGAAGAAGTGCCTAGTCTTACTGCTACTTGATATGCTATATTTGGCTATAGGTCTGCTCTTTTCTGAAGAAAAAGGAGGAAGAGTGGATGGTCATGGTAGGGGGGAGGGACTTGGAGGTGAGTAGGGAAGGAGGGCCAACTATGATTGGGCTGGGAAAAAATAATTAAAAACAAAAACAGAAAAAGAAATCAGGGCTGTAAGTCCAAAGGTAAATGTCAGTCCACAGCAGAACTATTTGGCTTCATAAGTTTGACATGTGATAAGGGATATTAAAATAGGCTCATGTGACAGCTAATTGTTATTGAAATCCAGATATTATATTGGGGGGTTAGCTCATGTTTTATGTCTTCTAGTTATTACTGTTCTTTTCTAAAGAAGCAATTGTCATTAGTACCCAGGGGGAGAAATTTGATCTTTTGTCTTTGAGTGTAAGATCACATTTTTGATAATTCATAAAAGGTATGTTCAAGGTCATCTGTTCATCTACTTAGCAGCAAGTTTCCAGAGTTTGTAACTGGGAATGACAAAAGATGAAAGTTGATGCTACAAATGGATAACTTACCAGTTTACCAAATACAGATAGTTTATAAGGTTTATTTTCAAGTTGACTTTATTGATAATTGTAATTTTAAATTTTCCTCAGGTCATTATGGTCTTTCTATTCATTCAATAAAACAAAAATAATCATAATTTGATCCTCCCTTGGAGTTAATGCCTTGGTGGACACTATAATAAGAAAGAACACTTGTGTGTAGCCTGCCCACTGTTAGGAATATGGTGTAAGATGGGTGGGACTGCAACGGATCCTATTGTGGGGGACAAACACAACATCAGGCAGAAATTATATGGGAAGGAAGTTGTGACACAAAAAAGAAATGGACCCAGAGACTCATATTGGGGTTCAAGCTTTAAGCTGAAGATCAGAAAAGCAAAGCATCTGGCCACTAGCTCTCACGTCTAGCTCAGGCTAAAAGGGCTGATCCATGAATGTGCTCTTCACCAAGTCTCAAACTGCTGCCTCTCCTCAGTGTGACTGGTGAATGAATGCCACTCTGAGACCTTGCTTCTTATATACTTCCCTAATGTAGGGATTAAAGGTGTGAGCTATAATTCTGTTTTAGACTGATTCACTCTTGTGTAGATCTGGGTGGCCTTGGACTCACAGAGATCCATCTATCTCTTAATCCTGAGTCCTAGGATTAAAGGTGTGTACCACCACCTCCCAGCTTCTGGCTGCTGGGATTAAAGGTATGTGCCTGTCTTCTATGACTTGTGGCTGGCTTTGCTTTCTGAATCCTCAGGTGTTAAGTGGAGCTTTTTCTTTACTAGCCGCTTTGGTTTATCCCCCGCCAGCCGCCTGGGCTCTGCTGCATTGTAGTCCCCAAATAACACACAAGACGCTGTATTAATTATGAAGCTGTTGGCCTTGCTTGTTTCTTACTGGCTAGCTCTGACTTAAGTAATTACCCCATAATTGTTAATCTAAGTATTTCTCTTACCGGAGAATAGTTCCGGGCTTCCTACCTCCATGGCATTACATCTTGACTCTCTTGTGTTTCTCCTTCCCAGAATCCTCCTGGACTCCTATCCCCACCTATCTAGGTTTCCTATTGGCTCAACAGTACTTTATTGACAAATGTACAGGACTTCCCCCAACACTCAGGCAAGCTTTAATAAATCATAAATAACATATCACTACAGGAAGTTTTATTGGGAAAAGGGAATGTAGTGGAGAAAGGGAAGGGAGGGGAGAGAAGAGAAAGAGAGGCCATCTTCAAGGAAGAGAGAAGAGAAGAAAAGAGAAGGGAAGGGAAGAGAAGACAAGGGAAGAGAAGAGACAGGAAAAATTCCCTCTCCCCCTTCAGAGGAACAGTAGGAGAGCAGAAGTGGGCAGAGTTTGCCACGTAAAGGGACCTTTGCACCTGTGTGCAGACTACATAGTGACATAGCAGTCATAGGACTCTGTACTGGCCAGGGTACTGCTTGAGTATATTCTGCCAGGTGGCAGGTTTATTATTTAAACGTTGAGGAGTTAGGTGTGGCAGGTTAGGGAATGAGGCTGTCCAGTTCTTGAGGCTACTTCCTGATGACCTGGGGGGTGTCGACCATCTTCAGGGGACCTGAGGAAGCTGGGGTGCTGCCATATCCTGGGGTAGCTGAGTGTTTCATTGTGTCCAGGTTGTATGGAACTCTCTGGCACTTCTTAGACCTGGAAAGATGTTGGCAGAGCAGAGGACAAGGTTAAGTTTAGGAAATTTTTTTTCTTAGGTTCTGGTGATTGAAGGGGGAAGGTATCACAATCAGGGAAAGGTGGAGGCCTTGGACTGTTTATTGACAGTACCTATCTGGAGTGTATCTGACCTGTTCTAGGTGAATCGAAGTCAACTACCTGGAACTTATAAGAATCCTTTGAGTTTGTGAAAATATAAGTTTTAGACACATTAGCACTTCCATTGTTTATAATATGTACTGAAATTTGCATTGTAGAAATGGCAGTGTACTCATATCTGAAATTATTTTTGGCTGAAAACATTAACACTCTTCCTTTCATCTGGAAAACTGTGACAGATATTTTTAACATAATGAAAAGTACCTTAATCTTCAGCTTGCAGTTATGATTGTAAACTGGAAAATATTTCATTCTTTTAAATGTATCAAATCACTTATTCCTTTTCATTTTTTAAACATTTCCATCCTTACAACTTGCATTCATACACCTTAGTTTAGTTTCTTAGACCTTTCCATCCTCAGGCCTTTATAAGTTGCATTCATATACCTTAAAACACCTTCTTAGACCTTTCTATCCTCACATCTTAAGCTCTTGTGTCTTTAGATAAATAAACCTTAAAGCATCTGTTTCTGAAATCTGTTTTATGAGTTTATTCCCTTTTTGAGTCCAGTAATGAGGTAAACTTAGTATTGGCTCTAGGAGAGTAGGTCCTGTAACTTGAATTTTTACAGAGACCTGATAAGGCACCTGAAACTTTGGCTGTTTTTTAAGCTGTTAAAGCTAATAGTTGTCAAAAGCATCCAAGTTTTTGAGAAGGATAAATCTTACCTGAATTAATGATTATAGAATGACAGAGACTTACTAGCTGGCCACTTGGACAGCTACTTCCAGAGTCCTCCACAGTTGTTGAGGGCAGAGGCTTTAGGACATTTGCCTTCTACTGTCAACACAGGCAAGGGCCTGCCTGACATAAAGAAGATCCTGTGGAGTAGGAGTTTTTAATGAAGACCAGCCTCCTATTGTCTGCACAATACGGAGGCTATCGATTCCAGTGTCCTGTTGTCCATGGTATGAGGAGCTCTTTGCAGCAGTTGAGGTGAAAGGCAGGTTTTCTCAGTGACTAGTGCTGCCACTTATGAATCAAGTTGCAGGTGGAGTTTCTTCAGCCTTCTCTGTCTTCTTTGGAGGAAATGGGGTGCTGCCAGGAGCTGGCAATCTCTGTTATGAAAAGCTTTTAATAAAACATTTAAATGCCATATTCTCTGGATTGCTGAGCATTTGAGGGCTGTCTATTGAGTATATCTGAATAGATAAACTTTGTCTTTAGTTATTCATCTTAAGCTCATAAGTGGCTAGGTGAGGCTTTATGCCTTTAATTAATTATAGCTGTACTTAGTATGGCTACAATGACATTAGTACAGGATCTGTCTGAAGAGCTGCATCCAAGCTGAGAGACCCTGGAGGGATGAACTTCTCTAGGGTTCAGCCTTGCTTGTGTCTCACCTTCCTATTGATCTGCAGAGTGACCCCTAAGGCTTCTTACCACCACCTGATCTCATAGGTGATAGCAATGTAATGAGTGACTTTTTATTATAACTAAATTTATTTAGCTTAGCTACTGAGAACAGCCTCACCCTCATTCTGTTGTTTTACCTTGTATCCAGGAGTGGACCAAGCTTTGCCTCAAGAACGACGGGCACCTGTCACCCCTTCCTCAGCCTCTCGATACCACCGCCGAAGATCCTCAGGCTCTCGAGATGAACGTTATAGGTCAGGTAAGGAATTGTATGGAGGCACTAGACTCGCTGTACTTGGGTCTGTTACTGTGAATAAATTGGGTCCTTCTTCCTGTTGGCTATGAGGCACAAGTTCAGGACATTTGAACTTTGCACAGGTGGAGCTCTAGCTCATGTACCAGTGTATGTTCTAGACTACTGGTTCTCAACCTTCCAAATTCTATGACCCTACAGTTCCTCATGTTGTGGTGACCCCACAGTAAAATTATTTCTTTGCTACTTTGTAACTGTAATTTTGCTAATGTAAATATCTGATATGTAGGATATCTCTTATGTAACTGTTGTGGAAGGGTTATTCAACCCTGAAGGGGTCACAACAATAAGTTGAGGACCACTGGTCTAGGCTAACCACACAATCCATAGCAAGTCTTTTCTGTTAGGTAAAGTAATAATTGTAATAATTGTTACCTCTTTAAATACTTGTTACCTGTAAGCAGAGATGACCAGACCACCTTAACAGTTAGTTTACACTCAGATGGCTTTCAATCAGAGGTTTTTTTTTTTTTTTTATTCACCCCTTCCCACTGTCCTTTCTTGTTTCTCACACCCTCTGGACCCTGTAGGCACCTGCATTGACATGTGTACATTCCTACAAGTAGATGTGCATATTTTAAAAAATAAACATCTAAAAAGATATGAGATATTTTTTCTACTGCTGTCCTATCTTTTCAGTTTTTTAGTAGATTTCATTTGCAAGGAAAGAGCCTCCTACCTCCTTAAGAGACCTGAAGGTCTCCGTCCACTTGTAGTAAAGCTGCTTTAGTTGCTTCAGTGATCAAATTATATTACCTATGAAATAATTCTGTTACCTTATAGATAATTGAACTAATTAACAATCGATTCAGCTAGCTATATAATAGCAAACTTAATTTCTCTTGGCTATATATATGTGAGCCAAGCTACATTTAGTTTCTAGGGATGGATTTGTCTCTTCCTCCTCTGTTTTTTTTTTCCATTCTTTCAGCAAATATATAAATAATTTTGTGTACTGAGCACTTTGCTATGAGTTGTGGCTGAGGCAGAGCTGTAGCAACACACAGTCCCCGCATTCAAAGAACTTCTAGATAATTTCTACCTTCATCCTAAAGCTTAATTTTTAGTTTGATGTTTTTCTTTCTCATGACGGTGGTTTTACTGACTTCATGGAGATTCTTAGGGCATGACCTATGCTTTCTCTGAACAATTCAATTTCTTCCTTATTGATTATAATAGAAACATGCTTATTTCCTTATTATGTTATACTAGTATAACCTATTAGACAAAAGTGCACATAGTAGTATTGAATTAGTCTGTGAATTTCACCTATTATACCAAGAATGGTGACAATTCATTTCTAGAGGGATGCTCTGTTCCATGGGGTTGTTAGTATAAACATGAGACCTGTTAATTTTAAATAAAGATTAAATTAAGTTAAAAATTCTGTTCTACCTTACTAGCAACATTTAAAGGTGAGCAACTTCCATACTGCACACTGCGTATAGGAACTTTGTTATACCTACCAAATGTCCTAATATAGGAAAATTGTTCTGGGAACTCATGGAAGAAAAGGCAAAAGATGCAGTTAAAAGAGCATAAAGGTTGATTGGCTCCACACTGAAGAAAGTGAAATTAATTTGGTTAACTATGCCTAGTCAATAGGAGATTTTAGAAATGTAAATATAGCAGAAGATGTATAGTATAGGCTGGTAGGATTGGGATGGATTTCTAATTCAAAGCAGGAACATATTAAAGGACTGTGGGATTATAGACATGAAGAAAAGATGGAGAATTACAATCTGTAGGGTGCAATGGAAACAGTACTTAGGAGGAAATTAGTGTCAAATACTCAGGAAAAGGAGATATCCTTGAAAGTGCAAAAATAAGCACTTGATTTTGGGCAATAGAAAAGAAAAATTAACTCCTCATAAAGAAGAAATGAGAAAACAAGGTAAACTAAAATCAAGAAATTACAGACCTGTTGTTATGTTGTAAGGCACTCAGAAGCTATGCTTGTCCTCATAAGAAGAAAACTGAATATTCTCAAAACTAAGGATTCTTCGCAGATTCATCCCAGAATTGTTGACTCAAATTTGCAAATGGATAATGTAAGCAGGGATATGGAGAGCCTAATCCTCAAGATCTGTTAAAAAAAAAATCAAATACCTACAGTGGTTCATTTTCCTTTTCCCAGCAGTCATTACTTGCCTGAAGTTTTTTTTTTTTCTAGGACTGAGACTCTGAAAAATTTCCCCTTCTATGCTAAAGTGTACATTGATATGGCTATTGTTCTAGTGTTGTTTATGTAGCCATTTCAATTACAGACTGCTTCACGACAGACTCCCTATTGTTTTGGCTCTCATAAACTTTCTACCCCCTGTTCCCTGAGCCAAAGATTTAGGAGCTATGCCTCTTTGTTTGTATATATACACACATATATATTTGTTCACACACTTATGTAGCAATAATAAAGAAAAATAATCTATCAACTTGAGAGAGGGGATAAGGAATGGAGAGCTATTTGGAGGAAAGGGGAAGGGGAAAATGATGTAATTCTATTTCAATTAAAAACATTAAAAAAGAATAAATGGCGATAAAATAAAATATTTTTCAAATTGACCTAACAGACAAAGATGAAATAATTATAGCTTATGTATTAGTAAAATAAATGACAGGATGTAGATTTGGGGAATAATTTGTAGTAAAGTCCTTAGACCACTAATGAGGTGGTATTATCTTATTTCAAAGTCTACTTGGATTAACTATAAATGTATGTTGTCAACTCAAGGGCAACCATGCAGAAAGGATTACAATAAAGTATAATTGACATGGCAAGAGAAAGGAAAATTATATTATATACAATTTAGTACTATAAAAGGCAGAAAATATGTGTTAAACAAGAAAAGAAATATAGGTCAATGGTAAGAAACTTTCAGAGTGGATTTAAAACAAGACTCAAGTATGTATTCCCTCCTAAGAGGTCTACATTTAATATGCAGTTGTAAATTAAAGAGGTGGATAAAATAAGCATTGTAATTCTAGTTAAGATATCTGGGGGACAAGGACAATTGCCACAGATAAAGACAAGAAAAGGAAAGGTGACTAAAAATCCTTAATACATCGGTAAGCAATGTTAAACCATCACTGCATATGAGGCAAGAAACCCAGCAGTGAGGAATGGAACGTTATGTGATAGTGGGACATGACTTCCTAAAGATCCAAGAACAGAAAATCAGGAAGAACATAAGTGAACTGAACAATAACATCAGTCAACTAGACTTCATTGGTGCAGAGTATTTCAGACATCAAGAGAATTCACACTTGTTAAGTTTACACAGAACATATTCATTAAGGCAGATAATATTCTCAGTCATAAAAGATATTGCCGTCCTGTCTCATAAAACCAAAAAAAAAGTTATTGCCATTAACACAATAGAAATAAACTATGCTTACAAACCATGGGATGGATTAAAATAGATGCTTATAATGGAAAGAGATGGGCAACCCCCAAATACCTGGAAGTTTAGAACATTATTTCTAAGTGACACATTAATCATAGTCTCCAGACACTGACAAATATTTTGAACTAAAAGAAAATGAAAACACATATGACCAACCTTGTCATGTTTCTAAGTAGTGCTTAGAAATGTTTAGAATATTGAAAGTATGCATTAAAAACTAAGAATTCGGGGCTGGAGCAGTGGTTAAGAGCACTGACTGCTTTTCCAGAAGACTCAGGTTGAATTCCCAGCACTCAAATGGCAGGTTACAACTGTTTGTAACTCCAGTTCTAGGGGATCCAACGCCTTAACACAGGCATACATGCAGGCCCAACACCAAAACACATTAAAAAAGAACTAAGAAATTAGTAATAATTAATTAAAATTTAAGTTGTATCTTTAAGGGATTAGGAATGAATACCCTAAGACAAAACTGTGGAAAGGTATTATAAAACTATAGGCAGATGTCTCGTGAGTTAGATACAGAAATCTTAGGAACATTAGCAAATTTAGTGCAATAATGTATAGAATGAGTTATATGCAGTTACACAGTGGCATTGATTTTCGAAGTACAAGACTGGCTTAGCATTTGTAAGTCAATGAATTCATCAAAATAACAAGCTAAAGAAGTCAAAAAGTCATCTGATTTCATCAATTGATACAGAAAAAGGAGTCAGCGTAATATAATAGTTGTGGGGGAACCTCTCTACAAATTAAGAATAAAGAAGGACACCCTCAATAAAGTTGAATGTTCAAGGTGATCGCCATAGGACATGTAAACGTTCAATGAATAAATTTATATAATAATAAATATTGACAGAACACATACAAAATAAATTGATTTTAGGCATAAAAAGATAATATTTTAATTGCCAAAAACAAATTATCCACGAAGATCCAGGGACAAAGTAAAGGTTGCTTCTCCTATGCATTTTCATACTAGAGTTTCTAGCTGGTAATAGAGAAGAGGAAAGAAACTACACAGATTGAAAGGATGAAGGTAAACTATACATCCCGAGGTGACAAGAATGTATGTAGGAATCACAAAGATTTAGCAACAATAGAAAAATGCTCCTGTAGCTAATATGCAATTACAGCAAGATTACAGATTATAAGAGCAAATCACCAAAATGGATTTTGATAGCTGTGATGGCTACTCTTGGCTGTCACTTTGACTACATCAGGAATGAACTACAGTCCAGAAACAGAGGGTACACCTGATCTTTAATCCAGATCTTGAGTTGGGAGGACACACCTTTAATCTGGGCCACACCTTTTGCTGGAAGCCTATATAGGAACATGGAAGAAGAAGGAGGCTTTTGCTCTTTGCCTGCCTGCTTGCTAGCAAGTCCATTCCTTCACTGGCACTAAAGACTACTTCTTAGGGATTCCAATATCTACTGAAGACCAGCTGAGATATCCAGCCTTGTGGACTGAGACTTTGGGATTCTTGAACTTTCCAGCCATTGTTGGATTAGTTGGACCACAGCCTGTTAGTGATTCTAATAAATCCCCTTTCTA